ATTACTCCCAAGGCAATATACAAACATAAACAAGCAATTTCATGGCATAAAACGTGATAAACAAAGCAAATTGAGCATCATAAATTTCGAATTTTCATGAAATTCGTGAATGAACATGCCAATAATTCATAAAAACCAGTGTGAGTTGGAGGAAAAATTACATAGATCGGGAATATGGATGAAAAGAGCTTTGATTTGCAACAAATTTGAGCGAATTCGGTTGAGAAACGAATGAGCAACGATCAATTGAAGTTTCGACTTCTTTCGAGCAGCGTTCACAACAAACCAGAGCACGAAATGAACTGAAAACGGGAATTTAAAGTGATTCCCGTGCTGGCGCCAGTCCCTAGGCATTGGCGTCACATTTTGTGCTTGGCGCCAGACGCCAATTTCAGCGCATGGCGCTAATGCCGTAAGGCTGGCGCTGATTGATTTCAGTGACGCCAAAGCAGCCAGCCACCTGTTGGGGTTGTGCTAGCCTTCTGCAATATATTTTGGGTTCCTTGGTACGCCAGTTAGCCCCTCTAAGAAATTTGACATGATTAGGTAATCGGCTTGATTACATGAAGTGATCAACCTGATGAAAAGATCGCCTCATTAGCAAAAAGCACCGACATACAGGTTCAAGAGCAAAAAGCGCCGACATATGGGCATAGCAAAAAGCAAAGTTCAGGCGAACTTTTAAAGATCGACGGGCGTGGATCTTAGGTATTTTTCTTTGGGAGATTATCGCATCAAATGTAGATGACTTCAAGAGAAGATGTCTTCGACATCATTCCCTAGCTTGCGGAAAGTTGTCACAAACAACTGAAGGTAATTTCGGGCGAAATTGTCTTCGATCATAGTTCCTGAGGCATGGAAGATGATCATAATGCGGATGAGAATTATTTCAAGAGAAATAATTTTCGATGATGTTCCCTTGGACGTGGAATATTATTACAGCGGAGAAGGTAGTTTCAGGCGAAGCAATCTTCTAATTTGGAAGCAGTTACAAGGCGTAGCGGTTTTCAAGCGGGATGGCATTCTCTAGCTTGCAGGAGGTCATCAAAACAAGGATACAGCAACAATCGGTTACTTTCAGAGACGTGTGCTCGACGGTGCAAGATACGCGCTTCTTAACACTTTTATCTGTTTAACTAACGCTAGTTTTGCAGGTATCGGCGTTATAAGATTTGATTTAGGATCGCAGAACGTTCTGAATCATTCTCCGTCCCTATCGATACTTTGACTTTTGTTTTCGAAACTTGCGTTTCTCCAAACTCAGTCAAAGTGGGGGCTTCTGTAGACACCCATTTGTGTCTCCCCAAAACCAAACTCAGTGATGAGTTCCTTTCACGTCGAATCATAATCGAATGAAACGAAAGTGTGGAAAGGTCTAGTGTTGCGGATAGTTTTATTTCTTTTCTTTTCTTTTCTCTTCTCTTTGTTTTTGAAAACTATATTTTAAGAAAACAGCCAATCCAGTTTGGTTGGTCCATGATATGGGTCCAATAGTGGTGTAGTTGGATGGGGCTTGCAAAGACCTTTCCAACGATATATTATAAGCCCAATTCCGATGAATATTGAGGAATTTATGGCCAATTTACTAAACTGGGCCCGGTTTGAGCTTTAAGTACGACCCAATGATCTAGGGGAGGGCCTAATATGATTTATCATTCCTAATGTAATTAGGAATGGTTTTGGTCTTCTAGAACATTCTAGAAGGTCTTATCATTCTTAATTCAATTCGAATTCTTTAGAGTTTTAATCAAGATCAAATAGCATTTTCGACTGAAATTATATTATTTTATCTTCCAGTACGGTAAAATTATCAGATTTTCGAAAACGCGTTAAAATCTAGTTTGGCATCCAACCCCAAGCCTTGGCGCCTGGAATCAGGATTGGCGCAAGACGCCAGCCATTGGCGCCTGGCGCTAGCCACTGGTCCTGGCGCCAAGTTAGTTTTTCGATCTTCAGACTCTGTTTTGATAAATTATCTTTTTTGGATGATTTTCTCAATAAATATCGTATCAAAAACTCCGTTTTCATTCACGAATTCTCCTTATTCTTAGATCATCTACAATCAACATTCATCAACAATCACTTTATGATTCACCAACTATCTTCATCATCTACATCTATTAATCAGTTCTCATCAACTCTCTTCATTCATCAAGGCTTTTAATTAATTCTCTTTATTCATCCATCTTTTTCATTCATTCATCAATTTTCAATAACATTAATCTTTTAGCATTCCTTCTAAACTTTGCTTTTTAATACAAAATTCCGCATTCACAAGATCTAGACACACCTAGCCATATTTGAAGTTGCCTTCGCCCTAGACGTGAAAGGTTTTAATTTCTGAGGGTTTGGTCCCAAATGTCTCTTTCAATTATTTAATTTAATTGTTTTGATTATTATTTTCCTTGAAATTACTAACGTGTGTATTTTTTAATTAGAAAGAGGTACGAGGCATCTAAGTAAGTACTTTAATGATTTAATTGATTTCATGATGTAGATATCATGTTTAGATTGTTATTTTGATTCCTAGTATCATGTCTAGGGTATCTTTATCAAGTATGATTAAAAGTATGATGCTTCCTATGTTCTTTCTAATATTTATAGTTATTATGATTAGTTATAATTATTATGATTATTTATCATGTTGTTTGATATGCATATTATTTTATATTGTTATTGCTTGATCACCTTTTATTGCAGGTTAAAGGGAATTGGTATTAGTCACGCTTAATAAGATAATTAATAATCTTGTTAGGGTTATTGTGATTATAATTTCAAGTGATCGCTAATAATAGTTTATTTGTGCATTAAATTCAACCAACATAGTTTAAACAGGTTTAGGGTTAATCCTATTGATTGTATGTTAGTCAGAAAGCGCGCATGAATACGAGCATAATAAAGTAGAGGCCTATTATTAGGTCAGGTTCAATCTCTTTTAGGTTTGATTTGTACCTTCATCCCCGAACCCTTATTTGGTTCATGACCTTATGGAGTTGACGATCTCTTGGATCGTTAAGGGGTGTAACCTTCACCTCGTGAACGGTTTACAAGTTCCTTAAAAACTTGTTGGCAACTCTTTTACTCTATCTTCTTCCCTTTTGGACGCCACCGTACTTTAGTGTATGATCACAGTGGGGTTCAAGCTAGTGGGACTTTAAAGGCTTGAAATTATTCCCTACAGTTCCAGACCTATTAGAGTTAACAATCTCCTGGCTCATTAAGTGGTGTAACCTTCACCCTTTGAACGGTTTACAAGTTCCTAAAACTTGTTGGTGACTCTTTTACTCTATCTTCCTTCCCTTTGGACGCCACCATGCTTAAGTGTATGATCACAATGGGGCTCAAGTGTGGGATGGCTTGAAATATTCCCTACAGTATCTTAACAGCAATTGTATTATTGTTATTATCATTTTTTTGATGATTTTTCATGTGATTGTTTAGATCGATCTTCATCCTTGGAGTATGATTGGAGTCCCTGAAGCTGTCCATTCTGGCATGGTTCGCTGCCATTTCCGGGCCCTTTATCAGGGACTTTTGGTGCTTTAGAGGACAGACGCTTGGTTTTTAGGTGAGTGTCTTCTCTTGCAGGAATTGTCCGAGGAGCCTTTGGTTCCTTTGGACCCTCAGGCCCGGATGATGCGTTCGGACCTGCAGTCTACCGAGGATCGAGCTCAAGCGATCCTTTTCTATCCAGAAAAGTAGCTGGTTCTAGAGGATGCATCTTACCTAACACTCATTGCATCCAGGGTGACTCCTTTTTTAGCTTTTGTTCCAGTTAGTATTTTACTATCTCTTTTTATTTATTCTTTTGTTTTACTTTCGGAACTTTGACTCTTTTATTGTATTTTCAGCGAGTCGAGCTAGGCGGTTGGGTACCTCCTACGGCGGAGATCACGTATACAGATGCTTTTGGGTCAGTAATTCGTGAGATTCTCCCAGCAGCAGAGGATGAGGACATGTCGTTCGTTCCTGAGACGTTCTTTCATATACATTTTTTTGATAATTGAACTTTTATTTCTTTAGAACGGGTTACGTGAGAAACCGTGACTGGCATGGTGATGACTTTGTGTACTTTCTGAGCTGCTTATCGGAGAGTTCTCGTGGCTTTGTCATGTCGTGATCATCGGATGGTCATAGTAAGTCTTTTCTTTCTTTTTTTTTTGTCAAAGTTATTACGCTTTTTGTGTATCAATCTTTGTCTTAAATTTTGCATAATGTACAGCAGCCTTCAGGATGTCACCAAGCATCCTGAATTCCTTTTGTATATTTTTTTATGGGGAATAAATGTACATTTATTATATTTATGTGACAAACATATTATTTTACATACATCATTTTTTTGTTTCCATGAATTTTATTTTTTTCCTTTTTTTAATTAATTTTCTCTTTTATTATTATTATTTTTTTGAACAGAGAAATTATATTAGAAAAAAATTTCCGAGGGAGGGGAAGGGTTCCTTACTTACCCCCCAAAAAAAACAAATAACAAAAAATAAAGGAAAAAAGGAAGAGGAAAAGAAAAGGTGAGAAGAGAAATGGAAACAAATAAAAATAAAAATAAAATAAAAATAAATAAAGAAGTTATAAGAAAATAAAACGAAAAAATAAAAGACATAAGGAAAGAAGTAAAAGAAAGGAAACAAGCGTTAACAAAGTCAAGCGTACGATTAGTCATAAGATTTCGTCAATATTCCATTATTTTGTGGTTTAAATATACGGAAATATGCCTAAAAAATTTCGCGATATCAGATCGCACGCAACTGGCACTAGTGAAAAAAATAGTTATCTGTAACGGGCAAAAATGACCCATTCATAACGGCAAGTGGGCGTTACATATGCCACCGTTACGGATAGCCAATGTTATTCGTATCGGGCATTTCAACTACCTGTAACAAAAAATTTCGCAACAGGCAATTGAAATGCCCGTTACGAATACATTTAGCCCCAATTTAAAAAAAAAAAATAATCCCAGCATAAATTGCTAGGTTGTCAGCATTTTGTGCTTCATTAATGCAAATTTTTATTTATTCCAAAATTTTTAATTAGTACATTTGGCCACAAATTTAATAAAAATACAAGAAACAACAATTTATTTTTTCCTTAGAAGACTAGTAAAATTTACAAAGTTTGTGCTGCTCAAGTAGCAAAATAGGAAGTACTTTTGAAGGTAAGTGCGAAGTAGTCTTCCAATCTTAAGTTCTTCACATGTTTCATCAGCATGGGCAATGCAAATTGTGTCCTTTTTCTTTCCCTGGAATATTAGATGATAAAAGTCAAAACTCAAAAATTATATAAAAAACATTAACAAAAATAGAAATAGGAAACCAGTATCATTGTGTAGGAAAAGGTTTTTCGAGCTAATTCAAGGTTGATTTTCCCCAATTATCACTTTAAAGCGTGATCGAAAGACACAGAGAGAGCACTTCTATTAGTCTATCAGAATCTATATATACCCCTAATCAGATTTTAACAGAAATGTTTTGTAATTGGATTTTAACACAAACTTTCACACCAATTTTATTTTATCCTTATTTCTTTTAAGAAAAAGGGACTTCATATTACTTAATTAAAACGAAACATAGAGATTTACAGGAGTCAGAGTAGTTGCTCCAAAATATCCTTGCACAAGTCCAAAGCAAAATAATTCTACTAGAGGATCTGCTAGAAATTAAACAAGTTCCATTACAATTACTGTAAGACGGGAAGATCATAGATGCATCTTTCCTCATTTTATAAATGATATTCAACAAAATAAATAAACAATATTCAACAAAATGTATAAACCAATAAACAAATTTAAAATATCATTCAAACTGAATACCTTAAATGTTGCAGCAGTAATTAGATAACAAAAGGCAAAATTAGATTAACAAGAAAATCAACATCACCAAGAAATACAAATAAAGGTAAAACAAAGTTAGAAAATCAAGATTAAACTAAAAAAAATTGAAAGATTTAAGGCCAAAAAAGCAAGAATTAAAAAAAATAGCATGAAAATTCTAGAAATTGCCCCAAACATTATAGGGCGAGTGAAATAGAGCCCTCGATTGATAATCGAAATAGAACTCATTGGATCGACCATTAATGGAGATTACAAAAGAAATCAAAGAAGAACGAAATTGATAATGTATCAAAACACCGACCATCAATTGAGCAGTCATTTTTACCATCTTCATTATCCCAATCAACACTAATTCAGTCCCCATTATTCACCAGATCAACTAATATTCAAAATCCAACAAAATTTATCAAGAAAAACTTTATAAAATCCCAAATGTAAACTAAAAACATCATAGTTAAGAATGATAATTAAAAAAATCATACCTCAGAGAAGAAGATAAGATTCTTCTAATCGTTTTTTCGAATTTCTAACATTATCAAGCAAAACTGAACAATATTGGAGGCAGGAGATTGAGTGAGGAGAGAGACAGCGAGACAGAGAGAGAAGTAAAATAAGAGAGGAAGTGAAAGTTTGACGGGATGACGGCTAAGAGAGATGTAAAATAAGAGAGAAGTAAAACAAGAGAGAGAACTAAACCCTAATACTCTAATATAATGGGACTTCTTTTAGGGAATTCCGCCCCATCACAATTCACAAGTCCATTTGTATCGGGAAATATTTTGCAAGTTACGATTAATTGATTATTCGTAAAGGACTTTATTTGCCCATTACAATTAAATTTATATTTGTAACGAGCACTATTTTGCCCGTTACAAATAGTTTTTATTTGTAACAGTCATATATTTTGCCCGTAACGAATAGTCTTTTCGTAACGGATTTTATTATGCCCGTTACAAAATAGCCGTTACAATTGAAGTTTTTTCCACTAGTTTGGATAGGTTGCGCACGGCTAGTTAATTAGACGTGCGCAGCTGGCGTGCGCAACTCATGAGATGCGCGCGCCACCTGCAAGCAAACTTTTCTTTGAGCGAAAATTGTCGAAATTTTGCCCCTTCTAGATCTATTTAAACATGGTTTCGTGTAGGCTTTTGATCATCTCGCAATCATTCGTTAGTAGTACTAGAAAGAAAAAGAATTAATTGCAAAAACCTTTAAGTAACGTTTGAAAAAATGGGTCACTTCCCTTTAAATTGAAGATAAATTAGCTTTCAAAATATACCATCTTGACCCTCTAGTGAACTATATGCAATTACTTGTTAATTTTGACATTCTTCATGTCCCTGTTAATCATTGGGATTCGAATCGCCATCTTTTCCTTTTTAAAGGGGATGAAATAGTCCCATTACCTAGTGAGTTTGAGGCTCTACTGGGTTTCCCTGCAAATACTCTCCCCTGACATATGCTCCTAATGAAGGAGTTCTGTCTTCGATAAGTGCAATTACTAGATATATCAAGGATCACTATTATGGAGATAATAAGTTCATTCCTTTAGGTTGTCATTATCTATTGCTAGACTATGATCAATGATCTTTGTGCTAGTCAAATAGTCCAAATCCCACTAGAATGGATCCTATGAGGTCACACACAAAGGTATTGGGTTAAGCAAGATAGAGGCTCATTTATGGGCCTCATGAATGAGTAACTAATCATGAATTGGATTGGGCTAGCATAGTAAGGTTACAGTTAGGTTTTGGACTTTGTCATGGACTCTTATTTAGAGATGAGATCTATAAATAAGATCCATGCCAAGGGTTGTAAGACAACACACAATTAACAGTTGATTGTGAATCAAGCTAAGCAACCAGAGCTCCTAAAAACCCTTGCACTCTCTCTCTAACCCACGACTCTCTCTCCTCCCCCCTTTGGACTCACGGCCGGCTACCCCTAGTGGCGCGTGTGGTGGTTCGTTGCTCTTTCTTCTCCTTAGAAGGTCAATTGAAGGATTCAATTAGAACTAACTAGCATTAGTAGAGGTCTTAATCCGTGCCTGTGGACTAAGTAGAGGAATCACGTTTGAGCTTCTTTTTCTCCCTTATTCTTGTTCAATCACATGTGGAATCACGCTTCAAAGGTATTAATTCTAATTCTTTATGTGTTATGCAAGATCTTAGGATTAGGTGATATATGAATATGATTCATGTTTTCCACATTCGTACCTATAAACTCTTGTTGGGTTTGGTGAGTCCTACTCACCGCGGAAAAAACCCAAGCCAAGGATCACACTCGCAATAAATAATATCACTAATTCATAAAATGAACACAAAAGGGCAAAATAGGAAATATACCTTTGTCGCATGCTTCACCTGACAAATTGGGCTCTTACTTGAAAGCTTAGCCCCGAAAACACGAGAGCCTCCGACGGAGATACACCCGCAAAAAAAACTACCGAATTTCTAGTCCGTTACCTTGAGGTTAGTGAGGTCCGACCAAAACCCGAGTATTATATGAGTTCAAGAGTTTTTGCAAATGCAATGCTCTATTGAACTCCTACTCAAGCACTCTTCCCAAAAACCCAAGGTGGGTATTTCTATCCCATCAATGTGGGATCATGAAATTCCACAATTTATTTAAAGTTAAAATAAAATAAATAAGAAAACTAATAATAAATCTACAAAAGTCATTAATACATGTAAAGAGAAGTGAGGACCACTTGGAGAGTAGAGGACCATACTTGCTCCCCACTCTATACTCTCCTTGTGTCACATGTCCATTACCCCACATGCCTCCCATATGCTTGGCCCTAGCTACCCGCGCCTAAGCCTAGCCACGGCCCAGCCCCGCACTTGGAGTTGCGGACTGCTGCTGCGGTTAGCAAGCCACGCACTCCAAGTACAGGTTGTTGCTAGCATGCCGCGCACACCATGTGCGGGCTGCTAGCAGCTGCTGCCCTTTGGGCGCTGCTGCTACTAGCCATGGTGCGGTAGCACGCACCAGCCAGCCAGCCTTGGCTCGACATGGTGCACATGCTAGCCACCTTTTCTAGCACATTATGCCCCTAACACTCGGATGCTCGGGGCATTCCGATGCTAAGGGTATTTTTGGAATATTGTCAATTTATTATTATTTGCGCGTCTCGTCATTTACTATTTTTTACTCGACTTCCGACACTTGGTTTCGGCGCTCTAAGCCCTAGTTTCGACGCTCTAAGCTCTAATATTCGACGTCTAAACATTTAATACTCGGGCGACTCATTAATTTCTTCCGAATTAATTCGTCGGGTCGGTTTGTTAATTGCTTGGGTGTAACCCGAAGGGATCAGTCAAGACTAAGCTATAGTATTAATTATACCTTAATATTACTGATCGGAAGCGGCCTCCACCTAGGCATTCCGATCACTTAACCTTACTGAATATATTAGCTTTCTAATAATTCTGAACCCACTATCAGAAGAATACACTTGTTCGAAGGACACCATTCCTTTTAATCTCCCACTTGTCCTTCTGGACAAGTGAACATTCAGTGTATAACCTTTTTCCTATGTCTCTTCATGAACCACAGGGTAAGATTATTCGTCATCCCTGTTACGTCCAGAAGTATTTCTCGAAATCTGAGTTTGACTGTCAATAAGCAGATGATTTCTAAAATCCATCTGAGCACGACCAAGGATTTTCAAAGTCTCGCTCTTCAAAAGGCCTTCTAAACAACAAGACATGTTCCCTATTATTAGTAGGTGTTGGGGTTTGGTGAGTCCGACTCACCGCGGAAACAAACCCAAAAACAAGACCGCACTCGCAATAAATAAAACCATAAACATAATTAAATTAATCACAAGATTAAGATAATCTAATTACCTTTGACGCGTGCTTCGCTCCAAAATGAGCTCTTACTTGAAAGCTTCAAGTCCCGCTCACACGGAGACCTCCAACGAAGTCCACCCGCACCAACAAAACCGACTAGGTCCAATGTCTTGGGGTTAGCAAGACCCGACCAATAAAACCCGAGTAATTATATTGAGTTCAAAGGTTTACACTAATTGTGATGCCTTTTTCAACTCTTACTCAAGCAACATTCCCAATGCCCATACTTGGGTATTTATAGGAAATGATGGGAGTATCATTTACTCTCCCATCAATGTGGGATAGTATGATTTTTCCATTTTATTTTAAAGCTAAAATAAAATTAATAATCAGGCTAGTAATAAATCAACAAGTGGAAAGCTCATGTGAGTGGTTAGGTGAGGACCACTTGGAGAAGGGGGGGGGACCAAACTTGCTCCCCACTCCCTCTCCCATAACCGGCCACCTCACTCCACACACACTCAAGGACCACAAGCCACATGGCACCCACCCTTGGGCACCAAGGCAGCCAAGGTGGGCTGCCATGTGCTGCTGTCCGTGGAAGCCACGCCCAGCAACCCCAGCAGGCCCAACACTCGCATGCGGGCTGCCAGGCGCTGCTAGCCAGCAAGCCCAGCATGCTTGTGCGGGCTGCTGTTGGGCTTGTGCCTTGGCCAGCGCTGCTAGGCAGCAAGCAATGGCCTAGCTATGCTGCTGCTAGCTGTGGCGAGCTGGTGCGCCTAGCGTGCTAGCTGCTGCAGCTTGTTGCGGCATGGCTTGCTAGCCATTACGCGCACAAGGCTGCTCCTAGCATGCTAGCACGCATTAGGCAGCGCCTAGCCTTGCGATGCTAGCATGGGTGCGCTAGCACGCACCAGCCAGCCTAGGCTTGGCTTGGTGCGCATGTTAGCCACCATGCTAGGCCATTCGCCCTTAGCACTCGGTTTGCTAGGGCATTCCGATGCTAGGGGTATTTTGGTCTTTTGTTGATTTATTACTATTTCTCGTCTCGTCTTTCACTATTTTTCGACTCGACTTCCGACGCTCGGTTTCGACGCTCTAAGCTCGAATTTCCGACGTCTAAATAAATATTACTCGGTCGACTCATTAATTCCTTCCGAATTAATTCGTTGGTTCGGTTTGTTGAATGCTTGGGTGTGACCCAAAGGGTTCAATCAAGATTAAGCTGTAACATTAATTATTCATTAATATTACTGATCGGAAGCGGCCTCCACCCAGGCATTTCGATCACTTGACCTCACTGAATATATTAGCTTTCTAATAATTCTGAACCCACTAACGGAATAGTACACTTGTTCGAAGGACACCATTCCTTTTAATCTCCCACTTGTCCTTCCGGACAAGTGCGCATTTTGTGTACAACCTTTTTCCTATGTCGCTTAATGTCTCTTCATGAACTATAAGGTAAGATTTATTTTTTCATCCTTATTACGTCCAGAAGTGTTTCCCAATTGCGAGTCCGACTGTCAATGAACAGATGATTTCTAAAATCCATCCGAGCACGGCCATGCATTTTATAGTCTCGCTCTACGAGAGGCCTTGTATACAACAAAGACATCTTCCCTATTTTAGTAGGGGGACATTCCCAATCTTGTAATGTAGCTCCTCTTACTGAGAGGGCCTAGTCGCCTGAGTGTTGTCGTTATAATCCCCTATTACAGCAGACGTTTGACAACATCAAAGCAAACTAGTACTCAAACAAGAGAACTCACAATACTCATGGTCGAGGAAATAGGTTCCGATAGCCATAATGAGAAGTATACTTATGACAAATTTTTAATTTCTTAAAGTATTCTCATAGGTCGATCCAGTATGGTTCTAAACCAATACCTGTGCAAATGATTTATGACAATCATGTCCTTGTAGCACATGAAACGGTGCTA